GCTTAGAGACAACTAAAGATTTGAACGGTAATTTGTTGTATGGAACCTGGACTAGGCTGGTATGGCAAGACATGAAAGATTACTTTTAGCACACCTATGTGCTTTTATCAAGTTCCCAGTGAACACAGACATTGTTATCTAGTTTGACCGTGTCACAAGGTTCGGTCACTGATTATATCTTAAACTGTTGTAATAATTGTTATGTATGATTCAATCTACTTTGATTGCCATTCTGTCTGTCAGTGATCATATTGTCAACTGTTGTGATAACTGTTATGTATGATTTGGTCTGAAGTTAAATCCATTCTTCAGGTTGGGCTTATATCTGATGAGAAATTGGTCGATCTGCTTGATTTGGCACTCTCCGCAGACACAGTCAACACTGTAAAGAATCTGAGGGTGATAATGGAAACTGGTGTTGAGCCGCTTGCCTTGATGTCTCAGCTTGCCACTGTAATTACTGACATACTTGCTGGGACCTATGATTTCACAAGAGATAGGAGGAGAAGGAAGTTTTTCCGGAGAAATCCATGTAAGTAAACAACAAACTTTATATAGAATTTTCTAAATTTTCAATTTATTGTAAACTGGGGTGATAGATATCATATTTCTTCCCTGAATAAGTTAGTTAATTTTTTAATGCTGTATTATTGATATTTTTTCACCCTTCTTTCAGCTTCATTTGACCATCCTCCCTAAAAATCTCTGGCTTGAGATTTTTCTTCACTAACAACTATATATTTTTTACTGCTTCAGATTTAAGTATTGTTGGACCTCAAATGCTTCTCTTAGCATGCCTCACTTGAGACTTTGACGCCTCTAGTGCTTGGAGTCTCTTATTTGGTTTATTTTGGTGAAATTGTCATTGTTATCATTATTCTTCACAATTCAATGATGCTAATTTCTGTCTCAGTATCGAAAGAAGATATGGAAAAGCTACGCCAAGCTTTGAAAACCTTATCTGAGGCTGAGAAGCAGTTGAGGATGTCCAATGACAAACTAACCTGGCTGACAGCTGCGTTGCTTCAACTTGCTCCTGACCAGCAATATATGCTGCCAACATCATCTGATAATAGTTTCAATCATAGTCCCTTGCCCCTAAATAAGGTAGATGGGAGAGAAGCAGCCCGGAGAACAAGTACTAATGTTGAAGTTCCTCGCAAAGAGAGACGTTTATCAATGGATTCTAGAATAGAGAATGTCCATGCTGGTAGCTCTGCTGATGGCGTGGCAAAGAGTCTTAGTTCAGATAATAAAAGACTTGCTGTGGCTGGTTTTGTGCCTCAACAGACATCTTCACATGTTACCGATGTGATTAGAATGAATGACAGACAGACTCTGGGTAAAAATCGGAAAGGAATTGAAGAGATATGGTTAGAGGTGCTTGACAGAATTCAGGTTAATGGTGTAAAAGAGTTTTTATATAGAGAAGGGAAGCTGGCCTCTGTTAGTTTTGGTGCTGGTAAATGCTCAATCTTCTTCTTGCCTGTCTACCATTGCAATAAATTATTTAGCACTGTAATACAAACCTTCCTCCGCCAACTAAGAAATTTTGTTGTCAATGTTAAAAGCACATGTAAAAACAAGCCTATCAGATTGAGGAAACTTAGGGCACGGTTGATCTTCGCATTTGAACTAAATGTGGCAGTATTGATGAAAGGGTGCCTTTTATTTTTCTGCATTGGAATTTCACTTCTAGTGGGAACTAGATCACACATAATCTTAGCTTTATCTACAGGCTTCAGTGCTCAACGTAAAGTTGAAGTCTTTTATTGCTCCTCTGTAATGCTCAACATTTCATTTGCTATTACAAGTAGAGTTTCGACTGCATTGTTGTGTAATGGGCCATGTCACCTTCTGTATCCTGAATAATTATTAATAGGGATTACTAGTTTCTTGTCTAATTTGTTGATTGTTGTCATAATATTTTCGTTTGTGTCATGAAATTTACAATAGTATCTAATTTAGTGCATTGCTTTATTATACAGCTCCAACTGTGCAGTTAATGACCAGTTCTCAACAGACGAAATCTACTACTGAGAAGTTCAGGGGGCATATTTTACAGGCATTTGAATCTGTCCTTGGATGTTCAGTAACGTTAGAAATTAGATGTGAATCAAGCAGAGATGCAGGATCAGGGTCTCAACTCCCTCTTATACTGCCTTCCACTAAAGATAGTTCTGTAGAAAAGAAAATGAGTGAAATTGTAGAAGAAGAAACTTCTCTGAAGGACCCTAAGAATAACGAGAAGCAAGCTGATGTTAACAAAAAGCCAATTGTGACTTCACACTTGGAAAGAAGGAGGCTCAGGGAACAAGGTCAGAGCCGAAGCATTGTGAAAAGTAAGGTATCTCTTGCTCATGTAATCCAGCAGGCAGAAGGACATACACAGCGAAGTGGGTGGTCAAAACGCAAAGCAGTTTCCATTGCTGAAAAGCTTGAACAAGAGAATCTGTATGTATTCTATTTCTATCCTTTTCTCTTATAACTGGTACTATAGTCTATAGCTAGTTGTAGAATGGAAGAGCGTTTGTTTAGCTTGAAATTTTACGATAATATGATAATAGAATTGGAGATCTCCAGGTAAGTAGCCTTCAGATTTAATTGAACATGGGTCATTAATAATGACTATCATGTCGCTGGAGAAAAGGGTTATTTGATTGCCTTGGGAGTTGACTTACGAGCAAAAGGTCTGAGGAATTGAGGATATCTTGACCGTAATACCAAAAGCAAAGAGAGAGTTGTTATTACATATCTCATACTTGCAGATGAATCGGAGTCTCTGGTGGTCATAAATTTTGAATCTGATTATGTAAGAATGAATCAATGTAGAAGGATACAAGCAGAGAGTTGTTTGCATGCACTATTATATAACCAAGTTATATAGGAGTTTTCTTGAACTATATGCTAGATTGAGGTTATCCTTTCTCCTTGATTACGAGAGGATGGAATAAAAATCGTAGATGATAATATTTTGTTATATTCAGCTTTGGATGCTAACATAGGCGCAAGGCATAATTATGCTGATATTTGAACTACGCATGAGTCTTGAAATCATTGCCTTTCAGGAGACTAGAGCCAAGATCAAGGAGCTTGCTATGCTGGAAAGCATCACGAGTAAGCCGGCGGAAGGTAATTTTCCCTAAATTCACCAGTGTATATCTTTATTAAGAGTATTACTATCGACCAGAAAGCTATCAGGTCATATCTTCTTGTTTTCATTTTCTTTCATACTCAAAATCAATCTTTCTAAATTTAAAACTTATTCTTACCTTAAAAATGAAGAGGAAATTATGTAGACCTTCTCTTTTGTTAAAATTGCACGGATCCCTGGACTCTATCCAAAGGAGGTCTGTCTAATTTAAAGAATGGAAGAGATGATTATGGTAATTTAACAAATTTAGGGTCTTCGGGAAGATTGTGTGATTTATTTTGTCACTTGAAAAGTTTGGGTAGCTTTTATGATCCAAGGTTCAAGGTTAGGGTCAGGAGGATTGTGTTGGCTTTAAAAGTAGAAGAGAGGTTTATATGATTTTGATAAAAGCCAAGGGATGTTAGTCGAAATTACTCAAGTGTTATGGCTTAGCCATACCGTTAGCCGATAATCCACTCAATTGCTGAAATTAAACTATAAGTGTCAATTTTAAAGTTTTCTGTTATTAATCTATTTTAATTTAATGGATATGAGGATGTCATCGCTGATGTATCCAACTGCATTTGCAGCTTTCGCGTTTGAAAGTTAGAACCAGAAAATCTCATGCGTTGTTGAATCTGGTCTCATGTGGAAAATGTCTCACTTCTAAATCTCCAAGGTAGTTAAGTTAGTTTTTTTAGGGTGCTTCAATTTCAAGGGTTCATTCATGAGCCGTTTGTATTGTCTGTATTGTATTTAGGCTTTTTCCTGATGTTTGATAGGTTCAATTTTTACAGGTCAAGCCTCTTTCTTTATTTGTTTAGTCTAATAAAGAGCTCGAGATTGTATATCTGACTAAGAAAATGTAGGAAAGTAGTCAATTCCAATTCAGTGATATCATATGGTTTCTCCTTCTTAGCGGCAATAAAATTCCTTGTAGTTTCAATTTATGCTTTTGAATCTGTTTTGAGATAAGAAATCAATTGTAATAAATGGCTTTGCATTGAAGCTAAACCCCTTGAAAATCTCATCGAGTGAAATATCTTATCTTTTAAATTAAAATTACAAAATTTATGTCGCTAAAAATAATACTCTTCTTATCCTCAGTATAACATTTAATTGTTGAATTGATTTTGATCCTAATATAAAGTTTATTTATCACATTTATTAATTTTTTTTAAGTTATCCTTATCAATACTTTTTAAACCATAATCAAATAGAAGAGGGAGATGAAATATTAAATAAAATGATTATGATGTTTTAAGAAAAACATGTTATTTTTTTATAATTAACTAACTTACCTAACTTTCTTAATCTAATTAAATTAGTTAAATATGTCTTATATTAAAAACCGAAAGAGTACCTTATTACTCCCTCCGTTCCTTATTATAAGAGACATTTGATGCTTATGGCATGTTCCTATATATAAGAGACACTTAAAAGTTGTCTCTACTTTTTTGTGTTGATTTCCTGTTTTACTCATATTTATTGTCTCCAACTCACACTCTCTCTCCTTCCCACTTCTCTTTGTTTTAATAATTTAATTGTTCTTTCTCATGTTCTCTCTCCTTATTAATGAGGACATTTTTGAAAAAAAGATTATACTTTTTACACATTGATTGTTCTTAACTAATTTTAACTGTTTTATTGATCAACGTAATTCGGTTATTCGTCTCTTATAATAAGAAACGGAGGGAGTAATTAAGACCAGCATCTCTTTTGCAATGCATAGTTGCATATTCTAATTCCAGAAGGATGCAGCATATTTGATGCAAATACTAAAAATATAACATTATCAATATATCGTTAGTCTCGGTCTTCTGACCCAATGATAATAAACATATTTCTCTAAGTCTTTCTTAAACATGAAGTTGTAAATTCAACCTTTATGAGCATAATAAGATTTACAACAAGAATATCTGACCTCTACACAAAATCCAGCCGACCAATTTTCCCCGAGTCAAAGGTGAGCATCTCCTATCTTTAAGATGGATTGACAATCCAAAATTACCAGGACACTAGACTATTAGTATGAAGGCCCACTTCAAATGAACCTTCTTCAAAAGCACCATCAAATAAACCTTCCGGGATCGCATCAATCTCTCTGGGTTCTAATGTCTTCACATTGTAACTGTAAAGTGATGCCTTCAGTGGGGGCTCAATAATTACTTGGAATATCACTTCTTGGTTTATCCCCACACCAAAAGACTCAGAAAAATCAACGTCGTCATCAACGTCGTCATCTCTTGGATAATTATAATAATCATCGAAGATTCCCATCTCATGATGGAGGCTCCATTTTCCAGAATCAGCTTCAAATATGTGTACTCTGAATCCTTTTGCGCCCAGAAAGACAACGGAAGCCAGACGATTTTCTATCTGGAAGAACTCTGTCCACCACCATGGGTAGTAATGTTCTTCGGGAAATAAAAACTTTCTAAATGTTTCCTTGTCAACATCCATCACAATTACATGGTCCTGTGTGATCCAGTACAGATCATTACCTCCACAGTAAATTGGGCTGCAACTAAATTCAAAATCACCGGCTTCTGAAGCGAATCTTGTCCAAGAAGTATCCTTCCCAAGTCTTAGAACATGCCAATGGCTATAACAAACTTCAGACTGAGTTTGAATAAGAGAAGCAAACAATTTGAATTCGCCAGTGCAGGGAACACGTACTATGGCACCGGGAGGGCAGTTCAAATTAGGACCGAGTAATTTAGGAACATTTAGAGTCTGCATGGTAACAGGGTTTACAACATGAAGATCTCCTCTGGCTTTTTGGTAAAACAGTATCAATCCATCACAACTGTTCAAATATTGTCCAGGTAATTGAAGGCTTAAAGCCGTGACACCATACTCTCCGTTGCCCTTGACCTCCAAGAAATGGGCACCATATGGAGGCCTCGTGCTCTGGAGGAAAATTCCAGGTTTTGCACCGAGGAGGTGTGTCTCAACAAAATCAGACCTGCGGATCATAGCAGCCCAAGATTTGCAAGTAAGCCTCGCACTGCTATGGAGCCACTGAGCAGGGAGTCTAGTCAGGATATTAAACATGACATCTTCAGGGAGGCACTCTGAAGAGTTATTGCTCTCGCTCTTGTTCTGAGGCTCTAAGCAACTGCTGCCTCCACTGCTGCAATCCTTTCCCCCATCATCTTTCTTCTCCGAATCCATTTTCAGCTGTTTCTACAACTGTATTGACAAAAATATTTACTGTTTGAATTTGAGCTAAATTTTAAAGATAGCATCTCCACTGTCACAAGAATAATTGCCTTGTCAATCCATCTCTCACACAAACACAGAAATTCTTGCTGGCTTCAACTGATTATAATAATTTGTTTTGAAATTGAGGTTGCAAGATGCCTTCCAGATTGGTAGCAAATCTTTCCAAGATTAACGCTATTATCACTACATATGAATTTAGGTTATAAAGCAAAAAAGGCAGAAGACCTGGAATATTGGGATCGGTTAATGGAGAGAGTTCAAGCACCAGTAAAGACAAGAAGCCAACGCGTATGGAGTGGGCCCTAGCCTCACATGTAATCTAACACATTAACAACTATTCCTTTTATTGTACTCATAAATAGAGTCTACAATTTCATGCAAACTCCTAGTTTATCACTATTAAAATGAAGAAATGTCCCAAACTATATAAGCACACTTCAGCGATAAGTCAGGGCTATAACTTGCTACAGACTATTAAAGGAATACCAAAATATCAATATATATAGTCAAACTTGGACGTCCTATTATTCATATGACATGAATAATACCACTCACTTGAGACTTAGTATGAAGTGCAAAGCCCGTAATCTAGTTCTTGTTCAAGTGGCATCCAACTGTAAGGGAGGTCCTTAGACATAGAACCGGTGGAAGAAAGAAAATTTTGGAAGAAAAAATGTTACAGAAAAGAAGAGAAGGTGAAGAAGATGGAAGGCGAAAAATCCACCATTTAATTTTGCAGAAAGACAAGATTATATCTCAAAGAAATATATAAGGATGGTAGGCCTCACTCTTAAACCAATCAGAAATTCAAACCTGCTCAATATATATACGCATATACAGGGATGATTACTGAAAATAACCCAATTAACCAAATGAAGAGAATAGCTATCTTTTGCAAGATTCCCACTCCGCAACAAAGGTATTGAATAATTTGTAGAAGCTTGATACACTATATGACAAGCGATTAAAGGATTTTTCAAATTAAGCGAACGGTTAGATCGGGAAATTCAGTCCACATACGCAAAGAACTGCAATAGGCCATGATTAGGATAGACAAGGGCATCCGAACGCGGACAAAACGAGAAGAATGCACGACAGAAACGGAAATCCAGGCAGAAATGCATATACAGATAATTTAGCAGATGCGAGATCATCGAAAAGGTGGGAAAACAAATATCAGAAATTCAACCGCAGTCCTGTGAATCACTAAATAAACGAACATTGAAGCTAATTTGATAGAGTATTAAAAGAAGAAGAAGAAGAAGAAGTTAATTTGAGAGACGATACCGAAAATTTCAACGAAAAAGGAACAAGCAAAAACTTAAGAATAAAGGTCTTGATTCGTGAAAATAAGTAACAAGTGGGAACCTTACGACTTGTCACTGAGATTCGCTTCCTTCCAAGCAGAGTAAATTGCAAGAATGGTGGATTTCTCACTCTTCACAGCACGAAGTGTTAAGTCGGCGCCCGGTCGCGCTGCGCCGGAAGCTTTTGCTGTGTTATGGTTCAAGCACTTTAATAAGGCTCTTTCTAATTGGTTAACAAAGAGGGTAAAGAGCACAAGAGGAAAATACCATAATGATATTCATTGCTTGAGGAAAACGATGCTACAGTTAGTCAATATCCACTGTCCACAGGAGATGTGTAAGGTGAAAAGGACACGTAGACATAGTGATAGAAAAATCCAAAATCAGATAACGACAGCCAACAAGATTGAAAATAAACACTAATGGGCTTCTTATTGGACTTGCTTTTGATTGGATTGGTCTTATGCTTCAACAGAAAATACCCCCTTTCCAATTTTAGTTTTGGCCACTATAATCTCAGAGGGTACCTTATAATTTCGTAAACATTTGATCTGAATTACCTTAACACGGTTAACAGCCGCCAAACTAAAATTCCTATGATGTTTTAATTTAATGAGTTTTAGTTTTGATTATTAGTATGTTTTAACAAATTTTAGTTTTCATCTTATATGATACTATAATTAAATTCGAGCCAAATTTTTGTAGCAAAAAATTGGAATTAGTGTTGGATAAACATCCTAAACTCATCAGATCTGGATTGTCCATATCTCATTTTGATAATTGAAATTTGATTCCTTTTTTTATTTATTGTGAATAATTATTTTAATATATATAGAATCTAAAATAGAGATAATTTTTCAAATATCATTCTTTCAAAAAATTGTTTTTCTATTTAAAAATAACTAATTAAAGATTTTAAATATGGATCATTCAAATCAAACATAGATAATCCAGATCTGATGAACTTAGGCTGCTCATCAAGATGATGAGTACTAAAACTGGTTGGTCAAAAAATACGATTTAAACTCACAGGAATTAAGTTAAAATTCGATAAAAAAATTTTTAAAGTATTGGTAATAGCATTTACCCTTTGTTAGTGTACTTTTGTCAATTTTTATGAGTTAACAGAATCCAATTTTTCTTTCTTTTTTTTTTGTTATAATAAAGTTTAGATGAATTGGGCCAGTAACGAGATTGAAATTCATAATCTTGTATGTTATAAATTGACTTTTTAATACCAATAAGTGTTGGTCCAAATAGAAGGGACTTGGGCGCTTTAAACATCATGTCTTGGGTTTAATCCTTGAAGCTGTGTGTATGAAAAAAACACTGTTAGAAGGGGTCCCTGCTACAATGCCTGATAGTACTATGAGAGATTAGTCTCTTATTGTTCGGGTGGGAGGATACTTTAGGCAACAACAAAAAATTGACTTTTTATTAACTACATGAATTTTTGTTTTTATTAAAAAGAGAATCAATTTGTGACAAATTGGAGTCCAATCCCATTCAGAACCCAAGCACAAAATTAGCAGAACACAAGAAAAACGATACACTATTTATGGAATATGTGACGGGCTTAACTTGTTGAAAATAAATTACGTGGTGGTCAATGCTTTCTTTTAAATAATCGGCCCAATATTTTTACGGGACATGGGAGACCTCATATTGGCTTCATCCAAATATTAGCTTTTTTAACTAGTTAGCGAATCAGCTTGTAACTCACAACTAGAGCTGAAAAAATAGGCTGGTCTAGTCCTATAAAGTTGACGGGCTTAAAAAAACCGACTTTACATGATCAAAATTTTAAAAATACCCAAATTTGTTAGACCTGATTGTTAAGCAGACAAGCTCATAGCTGGTTTGCAGGCTTTCGACCTGTTTAAAAAAATTTATTTTTCATATTTTTTATATGCTTTATCAAAAATTAAAAATAAACCAATGAAATTACTAGCAAAAGACATAAATATAAATAAAATTAAGTCACAAATATGAAAGATCATCGTTTATAAATGTCCATCAACATACAAAAAAAATCTAAAACATCTATTAGACATAACAAGTTAATGACATTAACATTCAAAAGTTCTATTAAAAGTATACAAACATTTTCATAAAAGAAAAAGGACAAAATCTATCATCACTATCATTAATTGTAAGAATATTTGATTGTACTTCACTAGTAATAGGCTTTTCTTAACTTCCAAAAATATTAATGATTTCTTCTCAATACTATTTAGCTATTATGGACTCTAATATGTCTTCTTTCGTCTTTTTGAATTGAACTTTTTGCCCATCAGTAAATTTATTTAAAAGTATTAATGTTAAGTTTGTTTTAGAGGTTTCAACTTGCAACCATTGGAGATTGATTCTGTGTTGTCTACTTACTACCTCTAGTCTTAATTATAAGACCTTGTTTGACTACAAGTGAGATCTTATAATTAGGAGTGGAGGTGATTTTTTTTCTTAGGCTTTAATTATGAAAATCACTTTGCTACACAATCTCATAGGAAGTCATAAATATTTAAGCATTTTGAATTGATCAATAGTATGCTTTTAATGAGCTAACTATGTCATCCATTTTTAGTTTTTGTTTAGGATGGTCTTTTTTGGTTTTATCTAACTCGCTTATCTAATTCTATTTAAATATACAGTAAAAATTATGATATAGTTACTATAGAAAAAGTGTTAACTTATTTATTAAAATTTTATAACATATATGCAAATTGATAAGTATATGTTGGTTCAATCATTAAAATTTTTGTTTTAATATGGGGAATATATTTTGTTTATTCTAATATATAACTGTTGGTTCAAAAAAAATTGAAATCTAATTTAAGATATGGAGAATATAATTTTATTTATTTTAATATCATTAGAGATTAAGGTATGAGCTGAGAATGAATGAAATATTGAAAGTGAAACTTAGAGAGGGAAAGTGTGTAAAATGTTAGAAACTTATATTAGGATAAAAAATATAAATTAAAAAAAAATTATTGTTAGCGGGTTTAAATGGGCCAATCGGTGGCCCTATAGAGTCGACTTTTTTATTTTTGAGCCATACAGGACTAACCCTTTTAAGTCCAAGTTCCATTTGAAGATTCCAAATTATAAACCCAACCCTTCATTTAAACAGGTTTAAACAGATCAGTCTAACAGGCTCAATCCTACTTTTAATGTAATAATTTTGTTAGTGGGAGACTTGTGATCATCTCTATAAGTGCTTTCTCATCTAAACTTGTTTTGTCAAGGAAAAAAAATGTTTGTTTCTCAACACTAGAAGTATTTTGAATAACACGATGACTTGTAGTACATTGTTATATTTTCGTAATATTTTAACTTTATCAAAAAAATAATTAAACATGTTACATCGTCTGATCTTTTGCCAATTAATATATCTTGTCTTTAGTATAAGATCTAATTGGTTAATTTAAGTAGATTAAGAAAACTAATTAAGTTAGTTATTTGTAATAAATAGGTGTTGTCTTTCTTAAAATATCTTTACTAATTAAGTGTATTGATTAGAACTACTATTATTGCATGAACTGTCTTCGATAAACTTGAATGAAAAGAGTTGCTTTGTTTTCAGACTGTTCATCTTCATCAGCTCACACCGCGGGATGTTCGATTTGTCTCGTCTCGATTTCAATGAGTTTGGGATAGGACAAAAATAATTTCGGGATAGGACAAAAATAATTTCGGGACAGGACGACTATGAGACGAGACGGGACAGGACAGTAACTGGGATGAGGTTGTCTTGTCTTGTCTCAGAATGTTTTTTTAAAATTATTTATTAATAATAATTATTAGATTATTCAATTCACTTATTAATAATAATAATGATTTTTATTGTGTTTTTCAGTTCAAAAGTTATAATATTATCTCAACAAAATCTTCTTTCTCGATAAAATAATTCACAAAACCATTATATAGTATTCTTTTATGGTATTTTTTCTATAGTATTGTTTTCACACCATTTTTATATTATATAATTAAACTTTCTACATAATATTTTTTCATAATATTTTTATCTTTCAAAGTCTAATAAAAAATAATATTATAATATTAAAAAACTTATACAAAAAATTATAGTGATTTTTTAGGAAACGAGACGTCCCGTTCAACCGAGATAGAATCGGAACGAGACGCACAAAAATCACATCCCGTTCCTCTTCATTGGGATAAGACCAGGGCGAGCCTATTCCGATCTCACACCTAAATCTCCTTCTCAATCACTTTAACCTTCTCTGATGCACCACCTTCGTCTCCATGAAATTTAAACATATATATCCTGTCACCCTGCAAAACTGCAAATCACCGTCACCACAATTAAACCTTTTACCAACTTAAATCTTTCACTTTCCATCTACTAAAACCTGTCTTCCCCACTCCTCCGTGTACACTAGCTCATCAAACGAACATTCACTCTAAAGTCAACAACATGAAGATCCATTCTTCTTTCTCCTCTTGCTTTCCTCCTCCTTTTCTTCTTTCACTATAGTTCAGTTAACACCAGCCGCTGGTCCTAAACCCTCGGCCACACCTGCACCAGCTGCTCCGGCGCGGCTCCGGCAAAACCGTTAGTGCCCAGTGGACCCCAGTCGGAAGATTCCTCAGATGCTACCACCGACAATATCATTAAGATCCTCAGGAAGGCTACAAACTTCAATTTCCTTATCCGTCTCCTGAAGACTACCCAGTTGATCAACCAAATCAATTCGCAGCTTGTAGCCACCAGATCCGCCAGTGGCATAACCATTCTGGCTCCCGATGACGGTGCTTTCTCAGAACTCAGCCGGATTCCTCAACTCTCTGGACGATAACCAGAAGATCGAACTCTTGCAGTTCCACGTTCTCCCCGTCTACGTTTCGAGTTCCAACTTCAACTCGCTGACCAACCCGATCCGGACACTGGCCGGACTGAACCCGAGCAGGTTGCAGCTGAACGTGACGGCTTATGGGAACATGGTGAATATTTCAACTGGGGTGGTTAATACCACAATTGCGGGCATTGTTTACAGTGGTAAGTCACTGGCCACGTCATTTGAACAAAGTGTTACTTCTGTTGGATTTATTCAAGCCAAAGGCTCTGACGCCGGCGCCGTCTGTGGCACTGGCTAAAGCTCCCAAGTCTGATAAGGAGAATCCTTCTATGGGCGGGGATGATGATCAGAGCGAGTCTGTGAAGTAGAAGTCTGGGGCCGTCGGTTTGAATAGCGGCATTCTAGCAGCAACGTTGTCGTCTGTCGGAGCAGCCCTGGTTGCAGCTGGAACAACGACGTCGTATTGGAGAACACAAACTGCGCCATTTTGCAAGCTGTTAATTGTTAATAAATATTCTTTTATTCTTTTTTGGGATCACCAATTTCCTGTTTTGTTTTGCGTCGTGTTTTTGTTTGGGTGTGATTGGGAGAGATTTTTGGAGGGTGACGAATCACTCTCGAGATAAATTAGTCCAAAGTTTTGTTGGAGCTTCACATGTATGATTTGACATTGAAATGGCTACCTGAAATTCAATAACAATGGGGTCCAAATCATAGATGTACTTTGCCTTTGTTAAATATTTTTAAAAATTAAGAATATAAATTGATATCAAGTTGAGATTGTGGAAGCTCTCAGATTATGTAAGGACATCTCTCGATACGTCCATGAAGAGAAATCATTTTGAAATATTTTTTTTAATCTTTTGCAAAACAATTTTACTCTCTATGAATGTGTATAAAACATTACTTCTTCCGTTTCTTATTATAAGAGACAAATAACCAAATTACGTTGATAAAAAAAACAGTTAAAATTAGTTGAAAACAATTAATATGTAAAAAGTATAATGTTTTTTCCAACAATGCCTCCATTAATAAGGAGAGAGAGTATGAGAAAGAACAATTAAATTATTAAAAGAAAGAGAAGTGGGAGGGAGAGAGAGTATGAGTTGGAGACAAAATAAATAGGGGTAAAATAGGAAATCAATACAAAAACATAAAGACAATTTTTAAGTGTCTTTTATATATAGGAACATATCATAAGCATTAAATGTCTCTTATAATAAGGAATGGAAGGAGTATTAAATAAATATGCTTAGCTCTGATAGGATTTTCTTCAATGTTATTCTCTCTTCGAAAAGAAGATATTTGGATGTGTATTAAAGATGTTGGGGACTAAGAAATTAATGAAAGGATTATGCTGCAATCATACTCCCTTTGGTCCATAATATAAAAAGTTAGTTAGTTTGTTTCACATACCAAGAAATAAAAATTTAGTCATTAAATGTGTTCTAAAATGATAAAAATTTCCTATTTGACCCCTAAAAATGATAAAGTTATCTTTAATATTACACTTTTATTATTAATCGTCTTCTCCAATATTTAATGGCAATGAAAGCAAAAAAAATTACATTAATTAACCTGCCAAAGTCTTATATTTTGAGTCTCGTTTTTGCCTGAGCAATGGAGGGACTATTATATTCAAAACTAAATGTCAACGGATGATACTATACTAAAAAAATAATCGATGAGAGTAAATTACACGACTCATCAATCTTCAACGGATCAACTCATTAGCATTTTCAAAGAAGGATGATCAGAGAATTATAAATGGTCTATTCAATTTGATTATCGTTGCCACTTCTTCACAAGTTGTAACGTCTATCAATTTCCTTACTGCTTCATTCTTCTTGTTCTAGTTTTTGCTGCCTCTGATTTACTCGTTGATCTCCTTCATTTTGCTGATTTATTACTTTATTTTTCGATTTCTTGAAGCAGCGAAACAACCCAGAAGAATAATAGAAGCAATATATATATATATATATATCCCTCTCTCTCTCTCTCTCTCTCTCTCAGCTTAGAGATGGACGAAAGCCAAACCTGTTCAACAGAAGAAAGCACGTGGATGATCAAGCCACTCACAGGGTCACCTTCCAACTCCAACATTGGCTCATTGATTTCGAGTCGTCCCGCTTGTTTGAAGGGTGCGGTGAGTTTGAATGGCCTTGATGTTTCTGCTCTGAGATTGTTCGCCATGAATGGCATAATGGAGGCGTTGACAGATGCTAATGCTTTTATCAACGGCGTGTACGGTACAGAAACTGCCATGGCCGATCTGGTAGAGAGAGTTACAGTAAGAGCTCAAAGAGACAGTTTATTTGATATGGTCATTGGTTAGCGTGGCAAAGAAGTCAGACATGAAAAGGACCAATTTATTATTTGATAAGATTTGTAGGGTGATGAGGGTAGCAAGAAGGAAGAAGCCAGCAGACTTGAAAAGGATCCAAGGAGAACTAGCTAATGCACTGGGCTTCACAATGGAAGATGAGTCTGAAACTAGGAGAGCTTCTCTGTTGAGAGAGAGAATCAAAACGCAGCAGAAAATTCCTGTGCCGCTACAAGATCTCAACCAGGGACTAGATTTGCAAAGATCAGGAATTCCATTTGGGGCTGATCATACTGGCCGCAAGATTCTTTTGACTTCTACAAACCAAGAGATATTGTCCAACCAGATGCATGCTCACAAGGTTTTCAAATTTGTCTGACAAAGATTGGCACATATGTTCGGATCACACTCTGCATTTGAATTATACTGTACTGTACGTATTTTAGTGATGTCGTTGCTGTGATCTTTGTGTTTAACTCTTGCATGCCACTGGGGCTTCAGTTTATTTGGCCGCTTATTAATTTTTGACCTTTGGTTTTATGAATTCTTATGGTCCTGCGAGATTTCCTGAATTTTTTTGTATGGCTGATGAAGACATAGCATTTTAGAAACATTATGAATCAAGACTAGAAATATTTTGAATAACACTACGTAGTTATATTTTATACTCCTCCGGTCCTAAATGCAAGACCCTTATACTACTATAGTATAAGAGTCTTACATTTAGGACCTAGTAGTATAAGGGTCTTACATTTAGGACCGGAGGAATATTATTTTAATTTTTCAATAAATAAATCAAATATATTCTTTTTCCGATCCTTTTTTTTTTTTGGGTGTCAATTGTTGTACATCAGATGAACCTGAAAGAAAAGGGTTGCTTCGTTTTCTGAGTGTGCATCTTCATCAACTCACCTAAATCTCCTTCTCAATCGCTTTAACCTTCTCTGATGCACCACCTTCATCTCCATGAAACTTGACATATTCTGTCGCCGTCAGAATTAAACCTTTTACCCACCTAGTGATTCACTTTCCAGCTCCACCTATAAAAACCTTTCCCTCCCTCTCCTCCATGCACACTCATCAAACAAAACATTCATTCTGCATATAACAATTATCAACAAGATGAAGATCCATTTCTTCTTTCTTCTCTTGCTTTCCTCCTCCCTTTCTTCTTTCAGTTTAGCTCAGTTAACACCAGCCGCAGCCCCCAAGCCAGCTCCTAAACCCCCGGCCAAACCTGCACCAGCTGCTCCAGCGCCGGCTCCGGCAAAGCCGTTAGTGCCCAGTGGACCCCAGTCGGGAGATTCCTCGGACGCTTCCAACGACGGCATCATTAAGATCCTCAGGAAGGCCAAAAACTTCAATTTCCTTATCCGTCTTCTGAAAACTACCCAGTTGATCAACCAAATCAATTCGCAGCTCATAGCCACAAGATCCGCCAGTGGCCTAACCATTCTGGCTCCCGACGACAGTGCCTTCTCAGAACTCAAAGCCGGATTCCTCAACTCTCTGGACGATAACCAGAAGATCGAACTCGTGCAGTTCCACGTTCTTCCCGTCTACATTTCCAGCTCCAACTTCGACTCCCTCACCAACCCGGTCCGGACACTCGCCGGACTGAACCCGAGCAGGTTACAGCTGAACGTGACGGCTTATGGGAACATGGTGAATATTTCAACGGGGGTGGTTAATACCACAATTGCAGGCATTGTTTACACTGATAGGTCGCTGGCCATATATCATCTGAACAAAGTGTTGCTTCCACTGGATTTCTTCAAGCCAAAGGCTCTGGCTCCGGCACCGTCGCTGGCACTGGCTAAAGCTCCGAAAGCTGATAAGGAGAATCCATCTATGGATGGGGATGATGATCAGACCGAGTCAGTGAAGAAGTCTGGGGCTATTGGTCTTAATGGCGGCCTTCTAGCAACGTTGGCTTCTTTCGGAGTTGCTTTGGCCGCGGCAGCATTACCGACGTCGTATTGAAGAAGATGAACTACACCATCTGCAACCTGTTTGTTAATACTTGTTTTTTTCGGCCCACAATTTTATGATATGGTTTTGTTTGTTCTACTTTGCAAGAATGGTTCCTAATTATCCATTTTCCTTTTTTGGCCAACAATTAACTATCCATTTTTAAAAATCTTAATTATGAGAAAACATGTACATGATATACAAAAACCAGAGAAAAGAATCCTACAAGATACTACTACCTCCGAAGATCCAGTCAACTAATAAGAAAACGAAATAAATTATTTAATTATAGCATATATTATATGATCTATTTAAAATGCTCATATATATCATTGGATATATCAATGTATAGATCAAGTAAATTAGTTGAGAGAAACATGATAAATATAAATATTTTAAAGTAACTTATATAGCTTCTCTAATCTTTCCAAATTAGTCAATATTATTTTATATATAAGGACCAGAGGTACATAGTACAAGATTCACTTGGTATCAGGGGGGAAAAAAAAAGATTCACTTGGTAATGCGTTTGTACTCCAAAATAAATCTTATGCCAATACAGTTTCTAGTGGCATCAATTTATTAGATAGACAATACTAGATTTTAACACAAATTTCAGCTTTAATTTTACTATAGTTTAGAATATTAAACATTTCAAAATACCATAAAGTTCTTATCTTCCCACACGTAATAGCGTGTCAATAATAGTGTATATGACGTATTTCATAACCCTATAATCGTAGAATAAATGTCATATTTACTCATTTTCAGCATTATAGAACACACTAGTAAAATAATCAGTGATAATCATTAAAAGCAATTAATTCATCTTTTGTAAGCAGTCTATTTTATTATAATCAACCATGGGATGTTTTGGTATGTTATATATGCTCAACAAAAAGGAGCTTGCGTAAATCTGGTACCATATCCTTAAAAACACTTGTACTCAAACCGGCAGCATCTATGCAAAGGCCTCCATATATATAATTAGACACGCACACATAGAGTCACACCGCATTATTTTGCAGAAGATTTGCCAATGGTAGCCTTAGAGATTAATCATGTAAAAACTACAGACCAATTTCTATTAAGAAGCATATATTCTAACTTGCTGTGAACATGTCCACATTCTCGCTAGCTAGCTTTATGCAGAAGAATTTTGTAAGCCTTATTATAAAGTCTCAAGGAATTACATATATAACTTTGCCAAAAAAAGAAGAAGAAGAAGAAGTCAGTTTAAGCAACTTCTGATTTTTTGCTATGGGTTTTTTTTTCCTCTTCTTCATTTAGCTTATGCCCTTTGCCTATCTATCTCCCTTCATTTCTTAATTAATTCTAGCTAGCTTTTTTATTTCAAGAAAAGGCATGCTAAACCTACTCCCAATCCCAAAGAGTCGCATCAAATTCTGAACAACATTTCGAATCCTAGCTATAAAGACATACATACTATAAATGGATTTTTCCTTTGAGAAATTGAGGTAAACTCGACACATAGATGGTTTTTTCAAAGAGGTGAAAAAAAGTTTTTCCTTTTTTCAGCCCAAAGATGCATTTTATCAACTTGCACCTAATCCCTTTCTCAATCACCACAACCTTCCCCGATGCACCACCTTAATCTCCATGAAACATAACATATTCTGTCACACATCAAAACTACAAGTCACTATCATAATTAAACCCTTTACCCAACTAATCATTCATTTTCCACCTATAAAAACTTTCTCTTCCAACACCTCCTCACCCATCAAACAAACGTTCATTCTAAAATTAATAATAGTTCTCTCGAGCCTTCTATACTGTAATCAACAAGATGAAGCAAATCCATTTCTTCCTTTTCCTCTTGCTTTCCTCCTCCTTCTCTTCTTTCACTTTAGCTCAGTTAACACCAGCCGCAGCCCCAAAACCAGCTCCTAAACCCCAGGCCAAACCTGCACCAGCTGTTCCGGCACCGGCTCCGGCGAAGCCGTTAGTGCCCAGTGGACCCCAGTCGGGAGATTCCTCGGACGCTTCCAACGACGACATCATTAAGATCCTCAGGAAAGCCAAAAACTTCAATTTCCTTATCCGTCTTCTGAAAACTACCCAGTTGATCAACCAAATCAATTCGCAGCTCATAGCCACAAGATCCGCCAGTGGCCTAACCATTCTGGCTCCCGATGACGATGCTTTCTCCGAACTCAAAGCCGGATTCCTCAACTCTCTGGACGATAACCAGAAGATAGAACTCGTGCAGTTCCACGTTCTTCCCGTCTACGTTTCCAGCTCCAACTTCGACTCCCTGACCAACCCGGTCCGGACACTCGCCGGACTCAACCCGAGCAGGTTGCAGCTGAACGTGACGGCTTATGGGAGCATGGTGAATATTTCAACTGGGGTGGTCAATACCACAATTGCAGGCATTGTTTACACTGATAGGTCACTGGCCATATATCATCTGAACAAAGTGTTGCTTCCGCTGGATTTCTTCAAGCCAAAGGCTCTGGCTCCGGCGCCGTCGCTGGCACTGGCTAAAGCTCCGAAAGCTGATAAGGAGAATCCGTCCATGGATGGGGATGATGATCAGACCGAGTCAGCGAAGGAGAAGTCCGGGGCTGAGGGTCTGAATGGCGGTTTTCTAGGAACAACGTTGGCTTCAGTCGGAGTAGCTTTGGCGGCGGCTGCTCTAACGGCGTCGTATTGAAGAATTTAAGCTTCGTCATTTAATTTGCAAGCTGTTAATAGTTGTTTTCTTTTCTTTTCTTTTCTTTGCCCCACAATTTTTCTTATCTTTAATTTGATGTTTTGGTTTTGTGTGCGTGGCATGGGGAGAGATTATTGTATGTGAAGCCTTTGCGTTATATTCGTGCTTTTCAATGAGTAAGATGTGATTGCTTTGTGTAATTTCACTTGCTCTTTTCGTGTTTTCGGCCGACATCAATCTTTATATGTTCTATATACATCTCATCTAAGACGTAAAATCTATGTCCTCTATATAATTATTACTACTAATCTTATTAATATAAGAGCTAATTTGACTTTTAATTTAATTTTAAATATAAGAATTTAATTCATTTTGTCTCTGATATTTAGTTATTTTTATCAAAGTAATCCCTATAATAATTGCACATATTAAAATTTTTATCAAATAATAGTTCTAGTTAATACACATGATTAACAGGGGTATTTTAGATAAGACAACAATTATTTATTACTAATAACTAAATTAATTTTCTTAATATCCCCAAATTAGTTATTTAGTTCTTATATTAAGAACATAAGTTAATATTTATTAACTAAGCTCGTTCATTTGCTTGAATGAATTTGGAACAAGGGCATGCATCCTCATATTTGATTGTACAAACGTAATTTTATACTTACATTCTACGTATTTAAAATTAAGTAATTATTTGAGCCTGCAAAATTATTATTGGAAGAGTTTGATAGAGAAAGAAGAAAGGATAAAAAAGGAAACACGTTTTAGAGGTAGCTTTGCTATAATCCATCATAAAGTAAAAAATTGATCTATTTTAATACTCTTCCCGTACTAAATATATGATCTTTATATACACTATATAAGAGTCCTATATTTAGGACCGGAGAAGTATCTCTGAGACCATTTATAACACTGCTTTAATATTGTGATTTTTTTTTAAGAAAAATCCTCTAATTGTATATGTACGTGCGAATTTGCACAACATTGTGAGAATTTTGATGCCAAAAAAAAGAAAGAAGCATACTTAGCATAGTGAGAATTTTATTTCATCACCAATGGGGGATGGGTTGGATATTTCTAAACCCGTCCAAAATTCCATTTCATGGGCGTCTCTTTTTGGGCCTATAATGGAGATTCCTCTTTCATGTCAATTATGTGATTAAAAAAATAAATGGAACTCGCTCTATCAGTTGCAGTTAATTTATAACACAAATATTTCGGCCAAAAAATTATAACTACAATAAAATCTACCAATTAAATTTAAAAAAATTAAGGGGAACCGTTGAACTGGTAAAATACAATTTTTAAAGAGAAAATAATTTTTAAAAAAAGAAAATTATAAAATCCTAAATCAGGTATTTTCATAAAAATATATTGTTATATACTAGCTTCGGTCCTAATTATAAGAGCTAGTTGACTAATTTGAGGAGATTAAGGACGTAAGTTAAATTAGTTATTTGTAATAAATAGATATTTTTTTTCTAAAATATTCTTGCTAATTGAATGTATCGGCTAGAACTATAATTATTAGAAAGACTATCTTGAAAAAAATATATAAATATTAGAGACAAAGTGGATTGGAGTTTTATATTTATGACCAAAATAAAAGTCAAACAAGGTCTTATAATAAGAACTGTAGGTAGTATAAGTCAATCGTTATAAAAAAAACCTGTTAAAGTGTTGTGAACAATGTTGATTTAGGATTTTGCACATTATCCCATTTTTAAGACTCGAAATGGATAACGTGAATGTAGCATACGTCGAATGATGGAAAGTAGGCATAGCAACTAAGCTACCTTTTATTTTTGGCCAGAGCGGTTAAATTACTCGAAACTAATTCAGTTAGTTTTATTTAGAAAATTAAATTACATTTTCGCATAGATTATCTAATTTAAGAGTAAAATTAATTTGGAAGATTATGAATAGGTTTTTTTTACCAGTGAACATTAATATAAAATATAATATATATCACAAGCTACCAAGTATATACAGTTCATAACACAAAATGCAACTTCAATTATGAGTAAATATTTAATTGAATGCTAGATCCGCTGTGATTTTTCTTTTTGTCAAAGAACCATTCCGAAATTTAAAATGTTCATAAAACTGTGAGCGTCCACATTCAGTGCTGGTGCTCATCACCTGATGAGCAATCTAGGCCGTCTAGATTTAATATTTTTAAATAATTATTTAAAAATAGGAAAAATTATATTTTTAAAGAATGATAGTTAAGAGATTATCTTTATTTTTTATCATATACCTATTAAAATAATTATTTTAAAAAAATAAAAATAAAATTAAATGTAGACCGTCCAGATCTGATGAGCATTGGGTGCTCATCAAAACTGATGAGCACCCAATGCAAATCCTATAAAACTATTAGTAGAAAGAATAAAACAGTTAACCCCCGGGGGGGAAAACATAGTGAATGAATCTCCAT